AACGTTTTTATGGCCCTTTGCATGTCATAATGTGTTGCTATAATAACTTTTCCCTACTCATCATTGACTTTTGAAGTCTGATTTTTCTAATCAAATCATTTTAAGTCAAGGGCTTTCATGCTAATTTCAATATTACCTAAGCTTTTAATTTTTTGAAGCCAACATTTATTTACCCCTAAAAGGACCCCAAACATGTGAAGGAATCTGAGAATATGGCAAAATTTCTTCCTTTGCAGTAAAATATTTACTGAGATTGTCTGCAATTTGAGATGAGGAAAGGTCTCAGAGAGCTTAGTCCAATTCCTGCATTTTACGGATGACAAAACTGTTAATGTCCATAAGAACTCTGGATGCAATGTTTGTTGAAAAAATACCTAAAAAGTGCTTACAAAAGCAAATCTCATTGTCGTCTCATATTACAAGCACAAATTTTGTATATTCCTTCTCAATGATTTGACTTTTTTTCCCTTGCTATTAAATAAATCTCCCAAATAAATCCTTTGTTAATTGGTTCAGGCTGACATAAAACACCACAGACTGTGTGGCTTCAATAACAGAAATGTATTTTTTCACAGTTTTGGAGGCTGTAAGTCCAAAATCAAAGTACCAGCAGGGCTCAATTTCTGGTGCGAGCTCTCTAGCTTATGGCCTTTCCTTGGATGGTACACAACAGAGGAAGGGAGAGAGAGAGAGAAAGAAAGAGGAAAGAGAATGTACTCCTGTGTCTCTTCTAACAAGGGCACTAATCCTGTCTGATCAGGGCCCTACCCTTATGACCTCATTTAACCTTAACTCCTTCCTCAGAAGCCCCTTCTCCAAAAACAGCCAAACTGAGATTAGAGCTTCAACACACAAATTTGGGGAGGGAAACAAGCATTCAGATCATAAGAAACCCTCTGTACCTAAGTTCAAGAAATGATGTCATACCTCCTGGTTTCAGGGTGGACATCCTAAAAGCACTTGGTAATTAATTATTGATGTTTTCTGGCCTTTCGTAGTGGTCATGGTTCCTCTCATTCTTCTTGTACTGAATTTATTTCATTGTTCTGAACTCTTGAAAGAAAAAAATAAAGCCCAGATTTTAATGTTGGTAAATTCAACAAGTTTACATATGAAAATATTCAGCATATTTGAGTCTGAATATATTAGTAATTTTTCAGATCAAATAGCCTTTCCTCAGGGATCATCCTGACAGTCCCATAGCATTAGTCCCTCATCACTCAGTCTTCCTTGAAATTTTACTTATTTGTCCTCTGTGATGATATTTAGTATGTTCTTCCTACATTCTTGATTATTGTGTTTTGTTAGCTGACTCTTCTTCTGACTTGAACTATGTACCTACACGTTGAGTTCTTTTACCTTTTTGTTCCAGATCCTGGAGATCTCAAATGATGTCACTTTTCATCTATTATCTCTACATGGACCACTTTCTTATTTGTGTCCTCCGCCTTAATCTGCCCTATACATTCTTTTCTTAACTTCTAGCTCAGGATTTATTGAATTTTATTTCTGTTTCTTGTTTTCATCTCAAATCAACATTCCCCAAAATGATCATTGCCTGTAAAATCAAATTCCTTGTTTCTGGCCACATAGACCAAGGGGACTCTTAGTAATTTTGACTGATTGACTGATATACCCAGAAGAATTTACTGAGCACCTACTGTGGTAGACATTGTGCTAGTTGCCAAATCTTACTCTTCTGTAATGTTTAGAGTATGTGTCTGGGTCTTTTCCAATTTATCTTCTAGTTATTTTATGTTTGTATTTTTTAAAATATCTTCTGTCTAGTGAACCTATAATTATCATTTAAGACAAAAGTGAAAAGTCATCACTGGTGTTATGAGTAGACTTCTATACACCCCCAAATACATGTTTAAGTCCTAATCTCTGTGACCTAGATTGGATATTAAGAGTTTGCAGATGCAATCAAGTTAAGATGAGGTCACAATGAATTACGGTGGGTCCTAATTCTATGACTAGTGTCCGTATAAAAAGAGGGAAAATTTGGACACAGAGACACAAAAGGAAGAAGGCCTAGTGATGATAAAGGCAGACATGGAGTGATGCAGCCACAAGTTAAGGAAATTCAAGAATTGCTGGCAACTTCTAGAAGCTACAGAAGAGGCATACAACAGGTTATCCTAGCCTCTAGAAGAAGCTAGCCCTGCCGACACCTTGATTTTAGACCTCCAGACCTGTGAGAGAAGACATTTCTGTTGTTTTAGGCCATCCAGTTCATAGCAATTTGTTATGGCAGCCCCAGCAAACTAAAATAGTTTGCGAAGCTATATATAATATCTGCCAAATTAATAATTTCTTTCTCGGCTCCATAACGCTCAGTACTCTTTGTTGTTGTATTTCCCTGGAAGCTTTGTGAGGGTTGGGGCATAGTGGGGAGTCATAGCCTTCTTTATGCCAATCATCATGCAAGGTACTATACCATCATCTCAAAAGTTTTATTGTTTTGTCTTTCACATTTAAATCCACCATCTATTTGGAATTTACTTTTTGTAATTGGTAAGAGGTATGGGATCAAACTTTGCTAATGCAATGAAATTTTTAGTCAGTAAAAAGATCGATTGCTAGTTCAACTCCAATTTGTTTTATACAATAAATCCTATTTTTATGATTTTATATTAAAATGAGTAATATGCTTATAAACTGTAAAGTCATAAAATATAAGGTGTTTCTTGGCTTACTTTTATGGAAGTGAGGTTATTGCTTTTGACAAAAGCTTCTGATATTATACAGTTTAAGAATTTAGTTCCAGAATAGACAGTTCCACAGCTATTCTCAGTTCCACTTACTAAGTCTTTTGAGTATGGTGGTTAGAGTAGAGACTGGGCAAATGTAAATTCATCAGCCCTGGCTAGTGTAGCTCAGTGGACTGAGTGCTGGCCTGGAGCCAAATGGTCGCTGGTTCAATTCCCAGTCAGGGCACATGCATGGGCTGTGGGCCAGGCCCCCAGTAGCGGGCACACAAGAGGCAAGCACACACTGATGTTTCTCTGCTTCTGTTTCTCCCTCCCTTCCCCTCTCTCTAAAAGTAAAATAAATAAAATCTTTTTAAAAATGTAAACTCATCAAAAAACCTCCCAGGGATCCTGGGATGACATTATTCTGGGTATGTCTACACCTCATCTTTGTACAGGAATGATAACAAAGCACAAATATTCACTGATTCACTGAATTTGTTACCATCATTTCTTTTAAATTAATACAATATACTTTATTTCCTGGTTTTGGTCTGGACACTCTCCAATGTGTTCTACATTTGGTATAGCATACAGCAGTCTGGCCTTTGTTTATCCAGCCCATTCTTTGCCTTCTGTACCCTACTCCCACTGGGCTTTGCCCTTCTTCCTCTTTTGCAGATGTCAGTCCCTTGAGAATCTACCTACTTGTCTTCCAGGATTTAGCATTATCTCATTTAAAAAGACTGATTTATAGGAAGTGCTCATTAGAGATTAATATTATTGTTAAAATAATATAATTAAAAATGTGTCCCCATGAATAAGACACTTCTCCAAAGGGGATGTACAGATTGCCAATAGACGTATGAAAAATGCTCATTGTCTTCAGAGAAGTGCAAATTAAAATCATAACCTCACATCTATTACTCACATCTATTACACATCGATATCATCTCACAACTATTAAAGTGGCTATCAACACTAAATCAATAAAGAAGTGTTGGTGAAGATGTTGAGAAAAAGGAACCCTCATGCACTGTTTTTAAGAATGCAAACTTGTGCAGCCACTATGGAAAATGGCTTGGATGTTCCTCAAAAAATTAAAAAATGGAACTGCCTTATGAACCAGTGATTCTGCTTCTGGTTATATATCCAAAGAAACCCAAAGCATTAATTATAAAGACTATATGTACCCTTATTGCATCATTTACAATGCAACTTACATTGCATTGCAGCATTATTTACAATGGACAAGATATGGAAGCAGCCCAAATGTCCATCCATAGATGAACGGATGATAAAGTGGTGGTACATATACAATGGAATGTTAGCCATAAAAAAAGAATGAAATCTTACATTTACAGCAGCATGGATGGACCTACAGGGTATTATTAAGGTAGTTGAAATGAGCCAGTCAGAGAAAGACAAATACAATATGATTCCACTTATATATGGACTCTAATGAACAAAATAACAAACAAAATAAAAGACTCATAGACACAGAGAATAGACAGATGATTCCAGAAGGGAGGAGAGTTGGAGAACTGAGTGAAAAAGGTGAAGGGATTAAGAAGTACAGGTTACAAAATAGTCATGTGGATATAATATACAAGAGAGAATATAGTCAATGCCTGGCTGGTATGGCTCAGTGGATTGAGCACAGGCCTGCGAACGAAAGGGCCACCATTTTGATTCCCAGTCCCGACACATGCCTGGGTTGCAGGCCAGGTCCCCAGGAGGGGGAGCTCAAGAGGTAACCACACATTGCTGTTTCTCTTTCTTCTTCCCTTCCTCTAAAACTAAATAAGTAAAATATTTTTTTAAAAAAGAGAGAATATAGTCAATAATACTGTAATAACTATGTATGGTGCCAAGTGGGTACTACAAATATGAGGGGAACACTTTATAAAGTAGATGATTGCCTAACCACTATACTGTACACCTGAAACATAAAGTGAAAAAGAATGTGCACTTTAAATAAAAATAAATAAAATTTGAAAAAGAACCAAGTACACTTTTAATCTGAAAATTAAAAAAAAATGCATTCCCAGTGTGATTATTGAAGGAGTACACCAAGTATCTGTTGAACGGAAGGACTGGTAGGACTTCGCTTCCGACGCTTTTAGCAACTCTCTACACCAGAAGATTTTTTAAAAAAGCTCGTCGAGACCAATCTAAAACAGCTTTCACTTCAGAAGACGCTGAAAATGTGACGAATCTTCTCTCGAGCGCCAACCTGAGGCACTGTTTCAACTGGTTTCTGAGAGAAGAGCGAGGATTGGCTAAGGTTTCTCTCCGCAGAAGCCGTTTGGCTCGTTCTGCCTGCGTTTCTTCATCCGGACGTGACCAGCGACAGTAGAGGTTTGTGTCGTCTTCCTCGTTCCGAACGGTAGCTGGGGCTTCTCCCAATATGGCCAGCTCTGACCCTCGCTATCCCTGCTCCTCGATAGAGGACGACTTCAACTATGGCAGCTGCGTGGCCTCTGCCAGCGTGCACATCCGAATGGGTACGTCCTCTCCTCTTTCTGCCCTTCCACCCTCGGCCTTGTCGGTCCTGCTACGCAGTCTCAGGAGGCGGTTTCCCTTCGGGACAGCGCCCTCCCCGGCCAGTCTCCGAGGCAGAGGAAAGCACAGGTCTCCCGGGCTTCGCTCCGCCTCCGCCTCCACCCCGCCTCCGCCTCCCCCTCCCCCGCCCCCCCTCCCCCGCCTCCTCCCCCCCCCCCCCGCCTCCTCCCCCGCCCCCTCCCCCTCTCCTTCCCCCGTCTCCCCCCCTCCCTTCTGGTTCCGGGAGAGAGCGCCCTCCCCGCCCCTGGGCCTCAGGCCAACTAGCTGTGTGCCTATGGATCGAAACTGGACCCCACTACTTGAATCCTGTGCTCTTCGGCGTAGAAAGGGGCAGACGAAAACTTAAGTAGCCTTACCTTGGCATCTTTAAATTAAAAGAAACTATGGTTATTTTTTTGGTGAAAATAAGTTTATCGTGTGATCATTTTGAAGCACACTGACACTGCTGGACTGTTTGTGTGTTAGGGCGTGTGAATACATTTTAATTTTCTGTTTGTCTCCTTTGCTGGATTGTAAGATCTGTGAGGGATCTTATTTATTTTTGTTCACTATTTTCCCTCTGCAGGACCTAGAACTGAACATAGGGTTGAGTATTACTGGGGCAGTTGTTGGAAATGGATGCTTTCTAAGTCAGTCAAAATACCATGCTAGTTTTAAGTTAATATGCAGTATCCAACGGGCAGAAATTATTCTGAATTTAAAATGCTCAGTTTCATTTAAGGGGAATTCATTGCCTGCTGCATTTCAGCCAGCTGATTTCAGGAGCTGCCCCAGATTTTCATCGTGTGGGAACAGTCGGACTTTGTTCTGGAAAACTAATTATGAAGCTCTGATGCACTAAAATCTTGATTTCTAGTACCTATATTTTTGAAATTTAATTTTGGAATTATTTTGGCAAGTGAGCTCAGTTTTTTTTTTAATTAAACATTTTTGGAATTGTGGTAAAATATAAATAACATTAAAAACTAACCGTCTTAACCATTTTAAGGGCAGTAAGATTCAGTAGTGTTAAGTATATTCACATTGTTGTGCAACCAACCTCCAGGACTTTTTCATCTTGCAAAACTGTACACTCATCAAAGAACTGCCCATTTACCCCCCTTCCTAGCCCTTGAAGTACCTTTCTATCTTTTGTTTCTCTGAATTTGACCATTCTAGAGACTTCAGATAAGTGGAATCATACAGTATTTATCTTTTTGTGACTGTCTTGTTTAAATTGGCATGTTTCCACAGTGCATCCCTGTTGCAGAATTTCCTTCCTTTTTAAGGCTGAATAATATTCTATTTTATGTATGAAACAAATTCATCTGTTGGTGGACATTTGGGTTTCTTCTACCTCATTATGAATAATACAGCTATAAATATAGGTATAAAAATATCTTTTGGGGACCCCACTTTCAATTGTTTTGGATATATATTCAAAAGTAGAATTGCTACATCAAAAATGTTTTGGTAGAAAACTCTTATTTTTCCATCAGAAAATCCCATTTCTTCTTCCTGTATCTCTCCTTTACTTTTCACACAAAACACCTCTGACATTTCTGGTCACTAAATGTGTGGGTTTTTTTTTTTCCTCCCCATACCAAGCAATTCTTTGTGACACTATCTAGGTGTCCTACAATTTAACTCAATGCTGACACTACTTACCAGGAGACAGTATCAAATCCCACAGGTTAAGGGCTCGGTTCCACAAGGCTGCTCCCACTCCACTTCAGATGCCAGTCACAAGTAGTAGGTCCCCAGGTTACCCACTGCTTTTGTCTGATTTGGCCATATATTGGAGATTCCCATGACCCCATCCTCAGATTTGATAATATGCTAGAGTGGCTCATAGAACTCAGGGAAACCCTTTTATTTTCCAGTTTATCAAAGGATAGAGATCAACAGCTAGATGAAGAATACATAGGTCAAGGTCTCTTGGGATGGTCCCAAGAGCAGGAGCTTCTGTCCCCATGGAGTTGGGATGTGTCATCCTGCCAATGTGCTGGATGTGTTCACCAACCAAGAAGCTCTCTTAACCCTAGACTGTTGGGATTTTATGTAGGCTTCTTTATGGAGCCATGATTGACCTTAAGTCTATTTTCATCCTTTCTTCTCAAAAAGAAAAAAAAGGGGGATTGGGCTGAAAATTCCAACTTCTAATCATGGCTTGTTGTTTGGTGACCAGCCCTTGTCCAGGAGCCATCCAGAAGCCAAACCAAGAGCCACTCAATAGAACAAAGACACTCCTATCACCCAAGACATTACAAGGGACCAGCCGTTTTAGGAATAGGGGTCAAAAATCAAATATTAGAACAAAAGATGCATTTAGTGCTTTTATCACTTAGGAAATTATAAGGGTTTCAGGAGCTCTGTGTCAGGAACCAGCAACAGACACCAAGATATATTTTCCATTTTTTAATAATATGGTAATTCTATTTTTAATTTTCCTAGAAACAACCACACTGTTTGACAGTGGCTACACCATTTTATATTTTCACGAACATTGTGCAAGAGTCCAATTTTTCCACATCCTCACCAACACTTTTTTTCCAAGTAGCCATCCAAATGGGTATGAAATATCTCATTGTGGTTTTGATTTGCATTTCCCTAATAATTAGTGATGTTGACCATCTTGTATGGGTGTCATATACGTGTATGGGCCATTTGTATATCTTTGAAGAAATGTTTTTCAATTCCTTTGCCTATTTTGTTTTTTATAGACTTTATTTTTTAAAGTGGTTTTAGGTTCACAGAAAAATTAAGTGTGGAAAGTACAGAGAGTTCCTGTATACCCCTATAATGGGGTACTGAGCTAGAGATCCTCCCAAATCCCAAAATCCCCACAGCTATCACTTGAGGTATTCAGGAAGTGGAACACGGCCATTGAGAGCTACTTTGCATATTTGGAGAACTTGGCCAGTGTTTTAGTAATATTAAAAGCAATGTTTGCTTGGAGCAGGGGAGATGGGAGTGACTGTAACCCAAGATGCATGCATGTAGCTGGAGGGGCTTCCTGTGCCTGTGAATCCTAGCCATGCTTGCCCAGACGGAGAAAAGCACAAGAAACGCTGAAGAAACCAGCGTGCTGGCAAGTGTAACCCACCCAGTGTGGGAAGAGTTAGATAAGGGGTTACCGACGGAGATCTGAAGCTGGGGATTTACCCAGGCGTGACGGCACGCTGGGGCTTAACCAAGCGGTTTGGGAGCTGAGAAGAAGCTCTGTCATTTAGCCACGCACTTTCTCTCGCAGCCATGCTTAAGTTCTACACCATGGGGGAAGGAGAATAGAACTGTGAGGCTTTCTCTTTCTCACTCGCTGCTGACCATGAAGCTGGGGAAGGTAAAGCCTCTCCGTGATGCATTAGCAGTGCCTCGTCTTGTCCCTATGGTTCAGAAGAATGCAGAAGGATTCCCTGGCCCACCATGAGGATGCAGTTTTGAATTAAGAATGGGAGCCTAGCCAAGCTCCCGACTTCTGTTTCTTTTCCTGAGATACGCTACCCTGACTGGCCTAGTTTAGCAAGGGGAGGCAGGACTCGTGTGTGTGTGTGTGTGTGTGTGTGCGCGCGCGCGCGCATGCACGGGTGTATATTTTAAAGGGACTTTGGGATTTAACGGCGACATTCTGCCATTACTCAAAGCTGTATAGCTTTTGAATAAATAGTTCTTTTTTCATAAGACTCTGGCATTGGGAGTTGGTCACACTGGCAGCAGGCAAAAAGAACTATAGAGTAATAGAACCCACAGGGGTCCCTGTAACACCCCTGACCCTACACACTCAGAGACTCCCCCACTATCAACAGCCTGCACCAGAGTAGTATATTTGTTACAGTGCATGAACCTGCACTGACACATCATTATCATCTGAAGTCCTGAGTTTACATTAGGGTTCATTCTTGGTATTTTTTGGTTTTGACAAATATATGTTAACATACCCACCATTACAGTATCATACAAATAATTCCACTCTCTTAAAAATCCGCTGTGCTGTTCCTGTTTGTCCCTCCTTCCTGCCAACCCTTAGCAACCAACTGATCTTCTTACTGTCTCCATAGTTTTGCCTTTTTCAGAATGCCATGTAGTAGGAATCATGAAGTATGTGTAACCTTTTCAGATTGGCTTCTTTCCAATTTAGATCATTTCATTTCTTTTTCTTGCCCAATTGCTCTTGCGAGGACTTACAGTACTGTGTTGAATAGAAGTGGCAAATGCAGGCGTCCTTGTCTTGTTCCTGATTTTAGAGGAAAAGCTTTCAATTCTTTACTGTTGAGTATGTCCTTTATTATGTTTAGGTAGTTTCCTTCTATTCTCAGTTTATTGAATTTTTTGCATCGATTGAGATGAGCATATGCTTTTCCCTCACCATTATGTTAATTTGGAATATCATGTTAATTAGTTTCTGTATGTTGAACCATCCTTGTATTCCAGGATTAAATCCCACTGGGCCATGGTGTGTAATTCTTTTAATCTGCTGTGAATTTTGTTTGCTAGTACTTTGATGAGAATTTTTCATAAATATTCATCAAGAACATTGGTCTGTAGTTTTCCTGTACTGTCTTTGGCTTTTGTATTGGGATTAGTAATGCTGTCTCAGAATGAATTCAGAAATGTTCCCTCCTCTTCAGTTTTTTTGGAAGAGTTGTAGGAGGATTGGTGTTAAAACTCAGTTTTTTAGTTTATATTTTTTAAACCAATAAGACATTCTCAGGTGCTAACCAATCATAAAGTTGACATTGACAGTGTGACACATTAGAGTAATTAAGAACTGGTATGGAAGTCCAGGGAGTGGATAAGAATTCCTGGCTATCTCATGGATGCCAGCAGCAGAATGAAAGTTTATCCTAATTCCAGAAGTGATAAAGAAAGAGAATGAGTCCCTTCAAAGAAAGACAGGAATAAAAAATTGAAGCCATTTCATGAAATTAAATTTCTGTAGAGGTGGAATCTGTGTGTGAATAGA